GGACCAATCAGTCAGCTCTTCTTCGATTTTAACAGCAGGCATGGTTCCTGCATACATCTATTCCAAAATGGAAACGAATCGCTTATGAATCCCATGGCATTTCGAGAATTTCCATGATGTAGCAATGAAATGTAGCCCTAAAGTCGAGGAAACAGGTACGCCAAAGCAACTGACAGGCGAAGATGCATCCGACCGTTTTATTTGCTCATGTATGATATGAAAAAGTAGCAAAAAATATTAAAAGCATAGCAAAATCGTTACAGCGTTAGTGCATGTGTATGAACAAATATGGATTCACGATATGAGCAGTCAAAATACATTTCCTGTATTAAAGTCATGAAATTGTTCAGAAATGCAACGAAATATAAACATCACAAACATGACATTACAGAGGAGGCGGCAAACATGTTGCATTCACAGACAACAGTATCGTTTTAGAGAGTGCTTGAAGAAGAGCCACTTTTTTGTTAACGAAATGAGCGACATTCCAAGTGTTGCAGGATAAAAGCGTTGGTTATGATTATGACTAATTACTGGCTGATCAAGAGCTTTTTAAAATCCTGGAAACTCCTGATGTCCATATTATCCAGTGCAGTTTACGAGCATCTCCGCGTTTCTTGAATGACAAAATAAAGCAACCCAAGGAGGTGGTTATTCGTTAACAACGCCCTACAATAGGATTGCAAATTGAGAAAGACCAACATGGCCCTGAGGTGGCTCAACTTTGGGAGGGAGCTTTATCTCATGTTACATATCTTGATCCTGGAATGCCAGAAATATTTCAAATTCAAAGGCATCCTAATAAAGTTCTTCGAAGCAGCGGTTACGTAGTAAAGAACAGCGTTGCTATACAACAAAGTCTGCCTTTGATCGGTGAAAATCAAGAGACGAATCCATCTTACCGCTTCTCCTTAATCTGCTCAGTGGATTGACGAATAACACCACAAAAGTATATATGTTGAAAGGCAACAGGGCAATATCCTTCCAGCTGTACGTGGGCGAGATGAAATTATATGAGAGATCGGATAAAGAACTGGATAATCTGACTCAAAGCTCGAATACCTTTGGAAGATAAGGCGGAATTCCGCTTAGATAAATGGGCCGTGATCCAGATTAAGAAGGTGAATATCTGAAACGCGATGAACGGACACCATCAACCAGCAAAACAACTGATTTGGAAGATGGATTATTCTAAAAATACTTCGGCTTAGTAGAAACTGACAATATGTTTCATGAAGAAGTTAAATTAATGGTTAACGTGGAATTTTTAATGGAATCCGCCAAATCTTCCAGAGCAAGTTATGCGGGAGAACAGAATAGTGACCATTAACCAGTGCTTATACAGTGGACATTGCGAATAAACGTGACCGGAATGGTTAGAAAGGTTAGAACTCATAGTAGGACACGAAAGTTCTTGAACATTAACAGGAAGGTACATTGAGGAGCGAATCCGAACAGATTACATGTCCCCCCTAAAGAAGGAAGATGCTAGCTTCGTGGTGTCTAGTATACGCTGGAACTAGAGGCATCAGCCGTAAGGCAATTTCGCCTACAGTGGTGAACGATAAGGTGCTGGCATTATTAAGATTAACGACCTGGCCAAACTGCAGCATTAAAAAGCTGGAAATGTTCAGTATCATCAGGAAAATATAAAAACATCAGATACAACACTTTTAAAAATAAAAAGGAACATGGACAAAGTTTCCGCCAACTCGGTGAAGGCATATATATTCAGCAAATTTTCAAATGACTTTCAAGAAGTGGATTTCATGGCGAAACGGAAGCCCGTCTAATAGCCACCCAAAATCAAGCGTTGAACACAAACTCAGACAAAGCGAAGATTCTGCAAACGCAATCAAATGCAAAGCAATGCACAGAATGAGTCAAGGGAGAGATGAGACCGTGACCAATATAATTTCCGGCTGTGAAACGCGCGAACCAACAGTACAATGGCATTTGTGCAACCACTGCACTTTCCAATGGGCAAGCAATACAAGAAATATCAGCTCAGAGCGGTGGAAGAAATCGAAAAAGTGAATACACAATCGGACTTCCCAATATGAACTGAGGATTATGAAAGTATGACCCATCTGACTATCGTATTTTATGGACTACGCGAAAAGACGGACACAAATCACTTCAAGACTCTGAGACTGCCCTTTTTTTCGCTTCGGAGCCGGCGGAGGGTCTGCCAGAATACTTTGTTTGTCGTGTGGAAATTCGACTCCATCACCTCACCGAACTTCTCCCCGGAACCATCTTTGGCACTGCTAGAGCTGCCGCCTTGCATGTCTCGACATATCGCACGCGTGTACATGGCTCCTTGTTTCCAAGCCATTTCTTGAACGCTGCTTTCTTCTCT